GTATTAATACACTTTGATCCATCTTGGTTTTATGATGATGTTTTGAATTATCATTTTATTAATTTAAAAATGAAAATTTTTGGTCTTATTTTTGGGATGTTACATCATTCTTTGGGATTTGATCAATAGCTGCTCCGACATTTTGAAGTGTTGGACCTCCTTCGTTATTGACGACTCTACTGATCCTTGTGATCTTCATGAAGTTCTATATACCCAGGCAGGAATTTAGCATACCGAGACGAGAATTTAGATTGGGAAGATTTTATTAACATATAATTCTCCTTATCACTCCGAAAATTTATATGTCAGTTCTAATAATGTTTAGAAACATGAACACATAAATATTCCAAATTCTAGGTCGGTAACAGACCTTAAACCTAATAATAGCAATTTTGATAGGCAACCTAAGGCATTCTATTCTATAAATTAATTAGCAAATAAAAGCAAATTATGCATCTTATCCTAAAGTAAGCTAGTGCTTGTGTTAATTTAGGTAAACTACCTAGAATATAATAGACACACACCTCCCGATCATTGCTTAGAATTCTAAGTTTAAGTCTAGAAATTCCCTAATATTCTAGGTTCGCTTAAACTAATGTTATGATACCAACTGTGACATTCTTATTTTTTTACGGTCTGAAAAAGACATTTTTATTTATGCTTATTTGAGGACAAAGTATTTATTGAGTTGCAGAATTTGTCCCATAAAAAGATTTTTGAAGAAATATTTTATTAATAAAATTTTGGGATGTCATAACTGATATAAAACATAAGCATAAACTTTATAAACTTTACAATAATTATACTAATGGCCTAAAACTCTTTGAATCCCTTAGCATAATGTACATTCAAACCATTACCTGTGATATAGAGAAACTGAGTGGGTCATGTTGCGAAACCTGGTGAGCACATAGGGTTTTCAACCACAATAATATAGTTGTATATTTTATTTTACACAATTAACCCAATTACTCATTCCCGTTATTCTCACTCCCCGATCCTAAGGTGATGATCTTGTTTGACCTATCCTAAAGGATCTCAATGAGTAGACAATATTACTATGGGGGTTCCGTAGCAATACATATCAATAAGGCAACCCTGATTGGGGGGGGGGGGGTAGAGTACCCTAATGAACATCTTTTCTTTTCCCTGAAAAATATGATCATTAACACCCCCAACCGGTGTTCCACCGGACTACCTAGAAGTTAGTGGTCGTCATCTGTACTATGTTAGATGACTATTCCCAGTAATACAGATAGACAATGTGTGGCCTCTCACTGTTATTTTATTCCCTAAAACCCTTACTACCCTAATGCAATTTAATTATGATAAAGTAAAAATCATATCACTTTAACGTATATAATACACATGTCAAGAACAAAGATATAAGCACGTATAGCATTTAAGAATACTTCATATCAATATGTAAGCCGAAAGTAACTACGCACTCACTTGGCAGGAGTACGTGACTCAAAGTTAGGGAAGTGTTTCGCCTTCACACTTTTCAAATACCTAAATCTATAACACTAAGTCTAAGCCTAGTTTCATAATCCTGGCAATTATTTACATAATAGTCTCGATTCCTCATTAATCCCAAGGTCTACATCAAGATCTATCAACTAGGAATAACTAGGTAGGATCATATCAGAGGTAGGGTCCGTTTGGTATATAGAGTATACTGTTTGGAAATCTCACTTTAAACACCTCACTAAATCCAACCTAGACATCACTCTCGTATGTAGATCAATCGGTATAATGACTTGGAATCACTAATAAATCTGATTTATAGGTTCATAATAACGACTTATGACTATAAATATAAGTCACACTGAAAAGTCTAGAGTGTAGCTTAACTTACAGAGATTTTTCTGACAGAAGTCTGGAAATTGCACTGGCAGAGCTTCTACTTGATAGCTACTACTACTTCTAGGATCACAGGGCTCCGGAGAAGACTAAAACTAAGGTAATATATGCCAAAACCGAAGGAAACTTGTAAGAGAGAGAGAGAGAGAGAGAGAGAGAGAGAGAGAGAAGAATGGGAAGTGTGGAAAACAAATGAGGGTGGCTGGCTATTTATAAGGCCAAAATCGGACCTGCATTCCGCGCCCAGACTATGCGTGTCACGTACCTCTGAGACGTTGTTCCCCCCATTTTTCTTCCACTTGTCGCAAATATGGTGGTCCACACCCACCTTCTAGAAAGCGCACTTTGTGCAACCTACTTGCGCGTGATGCTTCTTAGAAAACTTCAGAAAAAATCGTATCTTCTTCAATACGAACTCTGTTTTCGACGTTTTTTATATCCACATGTAGCTATCGATGAGATCTACAACTTTCGTTTAGACTCTGTCAGCTAATTTCACTTTATTTTTAAAGTTCTATTTTTAATGGGCTTAGACTGTTAAAGTCCGTGTAAAAATCATAACTTTTCCAAATGACATTTGTTCTCGACTGTCGTTATATCGATGGACTGGTATTGACAAGATCTCCAACTCTTGTTTATATTGTTTTTCCTAGTAATCGACCGATTTGAATTTCGGTTTCTATGCTAACACAACTATGCTGAAACTTTTGAAAAATCATAAATTCCTCTTTTGAAGTCAGATTTGGATGTTCCCTATTTGCTCAAGTTCACTTTTACGAATACTACGACTTTTATTTAGATTATTTTCCCTAAATAATCTTCTATTGAAAACAGCTATTTTTCGCCGTGAAGAATAATTATGTTATTATCATTTAATCATCTAGCCCTATCTTGCGGGCGTTACAATCGATCACTCATTATATTGTCATAAATGTTAATATGATCTTATGGTGTGTGTATGTGTGTGTGTGTGTGTGAGAGAGAGAGAGAAAGAGGGCCTACCGACCCTTTGTGAAATTTTGTCTTTTATAAAAAAAAAATCATTAAGGGTATATTGGTATGTTCAAATAGCTTTAACCGGAAATTTAAACAGAGTTAATCGAAAGGACCACTAATGGTACAAAGTTAATACTAAAAGGACTACCGTCCACCGATGTGTAAGGTTTGATCTATAAGGTTGTGGGGAGTGGTCACCACCAACCCACCGGAAAAGTGGTGTCACCTCTGCGCCACATCACCTTCACCACCAACTCACTAAACTTAGGAAATGGTCACCACTCCACAATTATCTTTTTTTATTTTTTTTATTTTTAATGACTAAATTAGATAAAAACATAATTTAAAACATAATAAAATATTTTATATTAATTAAAATCACGTTACATAATTTAAAACATAAGAAATTAAACCTACATTACTAAAAAAAACATAAAAACACATAGAAAATAAAACTAAAATACTAAAAAAACATAAAAAAACTTTAGAAAATTAAACCTAAATTACTAAAAAAAACATCGAATCTAGTTGCGATATTGGTCGAGAACTTCTTGTTGAATTTTCAAAAACACCATTAAATTTTCCGGGTCGAGATTTGGTTGCGGCACCGTGTTTATGATTTAAAGATTGGTGAGTGCCAATTGTCGCCGACGCTGTTCCTCCGTTGAATCAAAATTTTTTTCTAAAAAATTTAGAGTTTTGTCGATTTTCTCCGCTAGTACGTCCTCGTTGGTTGATTTTCCGATAGACAAAGCCCCTTTTCTCGCTTTGTCCCTTCCCGGTGGTCGACGAAGATGGACGTCCGGTGGACCCTCCCCTTCGGTGGCGTCGAACTCATCATTGAGGTCGAGGTTAACACCAATGTCCAACTCGGACGTTCTTGGCATTTTGTTGGAACCGGTGGTAAATCCCGAATGCGCCATTTCAGGATAAAGAACCCATTTTGGGCCATTGCAACAAACTTCCCATGCTTTTTTGGTTGCCAAAAGGTTTACCATTGTTTGTAATTTTGTATTGGTGCAACGTCGTTGACAAAATGTTGAAATCGTTGCTACCAATCCGATGCATATTTTTTAGATTGTCAAATACGCCGTTAAATTTGGAGCAAGCCGCTCTAAGGTCACGCCATTTAGCATTGACCGAGTCGTATGTCCCGCTCGTTTGCCTTCCTAATAATGCGTGGAAGTGGTCTAAAACACGATTCCAAAAGCTTTGACCCGATTGCGTGCTGCCGACATCCCCGTATTGTGATATGAAAATCCAAGTTTTAGCTAAAGTTGCCTCCTCCTCCTCGGTCCATTGGGTGTTTTACTTTTTCCTTGGATCTTTTGCTTTTTTTTTGCCTTCTACGACTTGGTTGGGTTTCTTCAACCCGTTCGTCGTCGTCGTCATCGTTGAGGTTTACGGGTGAAGATTGAGATAACGGAACTTGAGATGGTTGTGAAGTTTGTGGACGTTGGAAAGTTTTGGGTTGAAAGGCTTGAAATTGTGGTTGAACGAATTGTGGTGGTTGTTGTTGTTGGTAGTAGTGTGGGTGGTATGAAAGATTGGTGAATAGAGGTTGTTGTTGAACGGGGGATGAAAACAATTGCATATAGCCAATATTCGCTGACGGGTCATTTGGAGTGTTTGGGGTGGATGAGTTATTTTGGTTTGGATCCATGGAGGAAAGTATATTTTTTTTTGGTGAGTGTATATGTTTGTGTTCAAAGTGTGTGGTGTGTTTGAAATGAGAAAAAAAAGGTTGATATATATAGAGAAAGGATTGTAATTAATTAATTAATTAATTTTTTTTTACAAACGGTCAAAATCATTCAACGGTCAAAAAATCATATCACCCAATCAATTCTCGCGTCTTCTTCCGTCTACAGCTCCACGCCACAAACAACCCACCGGAAGGTGGGGCGGTGTTCACGCGTGAAGGGGGCTGACACGTCAGCTCCAACGCGTCCTTTTGGCCTCCACTCCGGGCAGCCTAAGGACCATCTATATAATAAAATAAAAAAATCATAACAATTATTTTAGAGAAAAAATGACAACCATAATGAACATTTGTGAAATGTTGTCTACCTTTCATCTATGGGTTATTTTCTTAATTATGAGTAAAAAAATCTAAATATGATTATAGAAATATTAACTATATGAAAAGGCCAAAAGGGAAAGAAGATGCCAAGGCTTTACTGCCACTACTTCCATATCCAAAACTCAATAGATATACCAAGAGACACACCTTCCCTTTTGAAACCCCAGAAACCATGGCTGCCAATATCGCCATTTCCACTTCCTCTTCTTCTTATTCTGCAACTTCACTAGCTACCAAACTTAATATCCCACCAAAACCCTCTTCATTTCGATCCCTCTGTCCTCCAAGAGCAAACTCAAATCGTCGCTTCAAACTTCATGCAAAATTAGGTTTCTACCCTTTTTCATCATCAAGTTACAGTATTTTCTTCAAATTCGATCTTCTTTTGGATCTTTTTGCTGTTCTACAGATGGGTTTTTCGTAATTTTGCAGGAGGAGAAGATGCGGAAGTCAGTAAAGACGGAAAGAAGAAGTTCATTACTAAAGAACAAGAACCAGAACAGTAAGCAATTCGATTCTTGACCTTTTAGAGAGAGCAAAATTGCATTTACTTATGGTGTGTAATTTGCAATGCGCAGGTATTGGCAAACAGCAGGGGAAAGGGACGGGGAGAATCCGATGATGACGCCTCTACCATACATTATCATATTCGGCATGTCGACTCCATTTGTCATCTTGGCTATTGGGTTTCTTAATGGTTGGATCAAGGTGCCCATCCGATGATCAAACCAGTCTTTGTTTAAATTCTAAATGTGATTGATACCTTTCTTGAATTATAAGTTTAAATTTTGTATGAAAAAAGAGGCTCTAAATTTACACGATTAACTTGTTCAAATAGTTGAAATTTCATTGTGATAATTGATAAGTTAAAGGTCTTACATTTAAAATTAAATGAATATGTATATGTCAATACATCATTGTAAACAACCGCGAGTGCACCGATTTATTTTTTGTCCATATGATGTCCTTCAAATATATATATATATATATATATATATATATATATATATAATATATATATATATATATATATATATATATATATATATATATATATATATATATGGTTTCGCTATGGCCTTTTTCACTAGCTATTGTTTGGTTTCACCTCAAAACACTGCGAAAGGAACTATTGCACCAAAATCCCATTTTAGTCGGAAATTCGTTTTGTCCATAGGAGGTCCTTAAACTTATTTTTTTGTTTCATTTTAGTCCTTTTTAATGCTACTACCCATTTATTGCTCGCTTTGGCATTTTTGTCTAATGTCAAGTCCGAGATGAGCTCATTAGCTTAGTATATTAGTAAACTTGGTGTCAGACCCATGTTAATTAATTAAAAAAAATAAATATCAAAATATAAATATTAAGTATTAATTAAATTTTAAAATAAAGAAGGAAAAAACATAATTATTGCAATTTAAGATCATATTTATTACGTTTAAAACTTTACTTATATAGCTATGTGACTTTTTAATTTTAAAAATTAAAAAAAACCTAGAAATTGACATGTGAATATTATTTATTTCAAAAATATCACAAAATGACAAATGTCAAAACTTATGAGAGATTAACATGTGACAAAATGAATTTTCATTTATTAGAGTAGATTTCAAAAATACCACAAAATGATAAGTGTCAAAACTTATGAGAGATTGGCATGTGACAAAATGAATTTTCATTTATTAGAGTAGATATTATGTGCGAAATCTAACATATTATGTGAATTTATTTAAAAGAAAGTTTTAATACGAAATTCTAAACATTTGAGAAGTTTGAATTAATAAGAAAAGTGAGAAAAATATTGAATTATTAAAATTAAAATGTTTTTTTCTTTTTTAAATTTAAACAAATAATTTAGATAAATAAACAAAGAAAACTAATGAGGCTTTAATTTAGGAATTTTAAGATTAGAAGGAAAGTTTATTAAGGAAATTGATATGCATTTATTATTATATTTAAATACTATATTAAATTTAATAAAATGGAAAAAACCATAAAATAACATGTGGAATAAAAATTAATTTAAAATAACCACAAAATGACATGTGGCAAATTGAATGAGAATGTAACATGTGACAAAAATGATTTTTATTTATTATAGTAGATAGTCTAGATTGTTCAAACGAGTGAGATCTTTGAGCATAATTCTAAAGTTATTATAAGATTTGGGAAGCTTATTTGTCCTCACAAAGAAATAAAGCCATAGCCCACCAGCATAAAGGATTACCATACAAAGTGGTGAATCCTTGAAAGGATTGCACAGGTCTATCGAGGATATGGTGGTATGTGGAGGTCTCTTCTTTGGAGACATTTAGTGGGGCCTGACTTCCTTACCTATTCGTTTCGGTGGTTTGGGTGTGTACTCGGTATACGAGGTTTCCTCCTACGCATTTGTAGCCTCGAGGGCCCAATCTTGGGCATTACAAGACCACATCTTACGTGACATTGGTGTATTTGGTATGGACTCGGATTACCTATGTGCTATGATTCGTCTTCGCGATACTATTCTGGGATTTGACTGTAGCGGTTTCACTAATAAGGACACCGCCCCCCCTAAATCCCAAAAAGCTTTGGTGTGTGCCCTTTTTAGCAAAATCGTCCAAGATATGGAAGTCGACTTCGACATGACTGTCAGACAGAAAGCAGTCTTTGAGTGTCTGCGGACACCTCATGCTCAGGATTTTCTGCTAACTATCCCTATTGATGGTTTTGGCCAGCATATGTCTCCTGTGGCGTACCGAACTATCCTTCGTTACCGCCTCATGATTCCCCTATTCCCAATTAACGAGATATGCCCAGTTTGCCGCAAGGCATGTTTGGATACCTTTGGAGAACACGCAGTTCATTGTAGAGAGATCCCTGGTTTCAAGTACAGACATAATGTGGTTCGGGATGTTCTCTTTGATGCTTGTCGGCGTGCTGGTATTTCTGTGAAGAAAGAAGGGTCAGTGAACTTTTTGACGGACCCGCAAGATGGAAGATCCACACTTAGATCGGTTGACATTTTGGTAAGCATGCGTGCGTGGATCTTACTGGGGTCTCTCCTCTCGTTGGTTTGGGGAGTGGGGGTTTCACAGCAGGTCATGCCGCTTTGAAAGTCGCTGCGTGCAAAGTGGTAAAGCACGAGAATGCATGTATAGAAAATCAACATGTGTTTGTACCTTTTGCATTCGATACATTTGGTTTTCTCGCACCAGAAGCGGTGAAGCTCATCAATAGAGTCCAACGGGTCATGCATTCTAATGTCATATCTCCTAGATTATGACATCCCCATTTTCAGGGCCAGAAAAGATCGGTTTTGTTTATGCTTTATAAAAATCAAAGTACTTCTTTTAATAAAAATGTTGCGAAATTTGTTCCCAGTAAAACATGATAAATACGTTATCAAAGCATTTCGAAGAAATGTATTTTTTATTCATTTTAAAACATTTGGGATGACATTGTCAATACAGAAACATAAGCATAAACAGAACTTACATTCATTTACACTAGTGATCTAGACCTCTTTAATCTCTCAGTGTAATGTAACTTCATATCAACACCTGTGATACAAATAAGCTTGAGTGGGTCAGGTTGGGAAACCTGGTGAGTACATAGGGTTTTCAACCAACAATAATATAATTATTATGTTTAAACATCAAACAATCAACCCAATTACTCATCCCCATTATCTTCTTTACTCTTAAGGATCTACCCTAAGAATCAACTATTCCTCGTTCATTCATTCCTAAGGATCATCCTAAGGAATCGGCACGAAGTCCATCATCACCGGGGTTTAGGCACTAATCTGCATAGTCGCCAGTTTATACAACAGACACTAATCCGCATAGTCGCCAGGGTTTTAGGCACTAAGTCTGCATAGTCGCCAGGGTTTAATACACAGGCACTAAGTCCGCATAGTCGCCATGGTTTTGGCACCAAGTCGGCATGATCGTCAAGGTTTAGGCACCAAGTCTGCATGGTCGTCAGGGTTTAGAGTACACCGGGTGAACACATCGTTCACAACACCTACAGGTTGCGAGCCTGCTAGTGTTCCGCTGGACTGTCTGAATAGTCCGTGGTTGTCATTCATACTGCTAATGACAGGGCCAACATTTGGAACAAGGCTTCTCACATCGTCCACCTCTCACCCTTAACTCATGGTCTATATCACCTCTCAACCTCATCAATCCAACTCATATTTCCTACCTATGTTTACCCAGCTATTATGTAGATATAAATTACATATACAGTTTAAATCATATAAAACTTGTATAAAATCGTTCATCCAGCATAGATAGCAAGTATACATATAATATGCACACATAGCACGTAGTTATATAAAACTACTTCTATCTATGTGTAAGATGAAAGTAACTATGCACTCACTTGATAAGGTGGTGACTCGGTACTCGGACATCGCTTCGTTTACTTTAAATAAATTTCCTTCGACGAAACCTAGTATTATTACCACTAGATTTTAGTCTAATATTACCGTGACTAATTATTAGTCTTTATTATTATTATTATTATATAACGTTTAAACAATACTTTCAACCACTATGTACAGACAGGGGCCAGACATAAAACACCGGAGGGCATGACCATTTTGGCATATAGCACTTCTGAAATCCACAACCCTATGCGGCCCTTTAAACCAGATTCCCCGTACCGCGAGTAGTTAAAAAGATATTATAACGACACTTATATAAGTCATAATAATAGCTCAAATATTTATTATAAGTTCATAATAACAATACTAATTTTAAATATAAGTTATATTAAAATAGGGTAAGCATAACTTACTTACAAGGGGTTTTAGCTAGGAGTCGGGCTCTGCAGGGGCAGAACTTCGTCGCTGAATCTTTCTAAGAAAGATTCGTGCAGCGCTTCAGCGCTCACCTTACTATACTAAAACTACAAAAGAGAAGTCGAATCACGAGGGACCGAAATGCTCGGGGATAAGAAGAGAAAGACTCTTGAATCAAGAGAATGCAAGAAAATATGAGAGCCCAAGCTCTTATTTATAGTAATTGATTTACAAAACTACCCTCCATAATTACTTAATGACCTTATAGTTATATAAACGACTAAACACCCCTTCATAATACTATTTTAAATAGATTTAAGATATTTGTACTAAACTAATGTCGAAAGTACTCAACACTAGTCTTATAATACCGCATCGTCGATACCTTCTAATGATATATACATTTGTATATATATATGTGTACGTATATATGATTTATACTTTATTTTAATACGTAATATGCTATTATAATTTGTAACTCGTTCATACGAACTCCTTTTGACGTTCTTTATATCCACGCGTTGGTATTTACGAGTACTACAACTTTCATTTAGACGCCGTCAGCTAATTTCTCATTCTATCTCAGATTTACAAACTGTATCGAATTGATTTATCGCGCTCGAAGAGTAGGCTAAGTTTCGTCCATATCTTTAACATACGAGCTCTATTCTCGACATTATAATATCCACGCGTAGGTAAAAACAAGATCTAAACTTTCATTTTAGACTCCGTCGGCTAATTCTCGACCGATCTTAAATTTAACAGTAGGAGGAGATTACCTGTTAAATGTCCGCGTAAAATTCATAACTTTTACATACGGACTCCGTTTTCGTCTGTCTTTTTACCGTTGAGTTCCTATTAATGAGATCTTCAACTCTCATTTAGGTCGCGTAGGCCAAAAACCGCTCGAACTAAATTTCGAAGTTTGGGCTGTGCACTGCTATGCCAAATCTTAGAAAAATTATAACTTCCTCATACGAAGTCAGATTTGGGCGTTCTTTTTTGTACACTCTCGGTTTAACGTATACTACAACTTTTGTTTAGATCACTAAGGCTAAAAAGTCTTCTATCGTAATTCACTATTTACGTCTCCCGGTGTCGTTCTGGTTTTGCCGTAAAACTTCGACGTGCCATAACTTCTTCGTTATAACTCGGATTTGGCGTTCTTTTTATATGTACGGACCCCTTGTAACATATACTACACTTGGTTAAGATTAATCCTTCTAAATATCTTCCATCAAAAACTCATTTTTGATGCTCATACGTCTCAAATTGACTAGCCCGGATATGCGGGCGTTACAATTATCTCCCCCTTAGGATGATTACGTCCCGGAATCATCAACAAAACAGGGTTGTGATATGACTCCGTACGTTATATCTTTATCCTAGGTAATAATCGTAACTCTATGTTCCTTCGAATAGTATCTAATTCTTGGACTTTTCGAACTGCAAGCGGTGCTCGATCTTGCACTTGATCCCTATCTCACGTTAGACTCCAAATATGACTTCAGTCACAATCTCGATCCTCACTGGATACGAACTTAAGATAAGTTTTTTATTACTATGGAACGATGTGTCATATTCTAATGACCTATCATCGTATGTTGCAACGCTTAGACTCAGGTCTCTTAGAGTCTTTCCAGAACAGACTATACTTTCGTTCATGTCTAATCTCATCTTAAAAGGTAGCTATTTCTAGCTACAAGCAACTTTTCGCGATCCTCTACTGATCGCTTTTTAATTTCAATCTCTTCCGTCTTAAGTAAGATGCTACATCGAACTTGATTTTCTCTGAACCACATAAAATACTTAGCATAGTCGGACTCAATTTGATATGACCACTAGGTCGGAATAACAATCATCGTCTTAGTCATTACCGAATACGATTGGTAACGACATACTTGAAGAAAACGAAATCAATTACTAGCTCCTTGGTAACCTTG